CGCAGGAGCCACTTGAATTCATTTACAATAGCATTCCTAATGCTGCAACAGCTGAGTTTTTTGTACAGAATTTTCCTTTATTTTTTTAAAGAAAAAAGGCATTGATGATTACCCTGAAACAGATGCTTCTCAGGAGTTTATTTCAAAGTGTGATGCGAGATTCCATTGTGTAGGCTGTGACTGTCAATAGATACATTTAAGATGTAAGAAAGTACTAAAAACTACAGGCAAAAAAAATCTAATGATCTGTACAGTTCCTTCCTACTAGAGACAGCCCCTGCACTTTATGCATGTTAACAAGAAGGATTCACAGAGCACTCTGGAAAGATCACGAAGAACACAGACAAAGAGCAGTGGGATTTCAGCACACTCTGATGCCCCGAGTCTCTGGCCAGCTCCACGTACCTGAGTCTTGTCCAATTGGTCTCACTGTCCCGGGGCAAACAAGTAACTCTGTGGAGGGCATATCCTGTGATTGTGCTTTCTGGGAGTCCTTTCTTTTATTAAAACACTTGAAGATGTGGGAATCCACCAGGGCTGCAAGCATCTGATTCATCTTCCTCTTGGTCCATTCGGGAATGATGTGGAGCAGCAGCTCAGTCGTGAAAGTCAGCCCGATGATAGCCGCACATTTCACTACCAGCTGCTCCGAAGAGCTCATGTTGTCTAACTCAGCCAGTGCGATGCCTACTGCAAACGAGTCATTCAGTAAATCATCACTTCTCCATGCTGGATGCTCCTGAGAGACCAAGACAGTAAGATTACAGTGGTTAGCTTTAGCGTTGGGAGTGAGAGGAGGATGGATGTCCTGTCTGGATCCTGTCCTTTTTACCCTACAAATGAACTGACCTGAGGAAGCTAACACGTCAATTCTCTCTTCTGAAAGCTGCCTTCACCAGCAACTACTGATAATGGGCAGTCACAGGGAATTCACACACTGGATTTTTGTACTGAACATGAGTTAATCCAGGAGCCACCATAATTGCTCAGTACCTTAATTTGACTGTAGAATTTATTAGGAGGGCTGTATTTATATTAATTCTTAATAGTTTGTCATTTAAATGAGACTTAAAGCGGCTTCCCAGAACAGCATCAGAACTCTGCTGCACCGAGATAGAGTGCCAACTACTGGACTCGAGGCTTGGCATGACTCCAAGACTAGACCAGCGTATTCAGGGATTAGATTGGGGCAAAAAGAGGGGAGAACCTTTTACAGTACAAACGCCAGAAGAATGCCTGTTAAGCAGACTGTAGTGAGACTGAGTGGCCTCCCTCAAAGCTGGAGAGCAAGGGACCAATACACTCCCCCTAGTGGGCAGGGCTAAATCTGCCACTCCCCCCTCACCAGAAGTCCTGAGGCGGGACAGAAAGTATAAAAGGAGAACCCCAGAGCTCAGTTGGGGCTGGAACACTGGAGGGAGCAGCAGATCAGGGCCGGCTCTAGGTTTTTTGCCGCCCCAAGCAAAAAAAATTTTGGCTGCTCCCCCGTCCCAGCCCTGGGCTCCTCGCCGCACCCCCCTGCTGCCCCAGCCTTGGGCTCTCCCCCTCCACCCCCCATCCCCACCCCCTGCCGCCCCAGCTCTGGGCTCCCTCATTCCTCCCCACACACACCTCCTGCCGCCCCAGCCCTGGGCTCTCTCCCCTCCCGACCTGCACCCTCCTTCTGCCGCAGCCCTGGGTCACTGGTAACTCGCTCCCACGGCAGGTCATTCAGCAGGAATTTTAGATGTGCACAGAACACAGACAGGATTGGTTCCGTCCCGGGGGTTTGTCAGGGGACAGGTAGGGGGGTGGGATCCTAGGGTGGAAGTTGGGGGGGGTGTCTCAGGAGGGGGCAGTTGGGGACAAGGAGAAGGGAGGCTTAGATGGGGTCCCAAGGGGCAGTTAGGGGCAGGGGTCCCAGGAGGGGGCAATCAGGGGACAAGGAGCAGTGGCGCTTAGATAGGGGGCGGGGTCCTGGGGGGCAGTTAGGGGCAGGGGTGATCAGGGGACAGGGAGCAGGGGGGGTTGGATGGGTTGGGGTTTCTGTGGGGGACAGTCAGAGGGAGTGGATGGTGGCAGGGTGGGGCTACCCTCCCTCCCTCCCTTTGGAGTGTCCTATTTTTTTAATGTTAAAATATGGTATCCCTACTCACGGTGCAGCTCTCCATTCAGGGCAGGCTGCAGCATGAGGTCTCAGCTACCTCACTCCCTCCCCCTCTTTCCTGTTGGTAGT